CCTGCACACCTCACTGCTGCAGAGGGACCAGGAGCTCTGCCCTGATTTCAGGGTAAACCCCTGTGCTGAGCAACATCCCTTAATCCCTGCAGGAATATCCCTGCAAATAATACCGTGAGGAGATGGTTTGGCTTGGTTTCTGTTCCCCTTTGCGGCGGGAGGAGGAAAAGCAGTGCGAGACTGCAAGAACAGCGCGGGTGAGAGGAGAGAAATGAGGAAGTAAAACACAACTTGTTTAGGAGGAGGGGAAATAAAAAACTCTTTTCCATGGCAGAAAAATCCCGATCCATGACAGGGACAGATGCAGGAGCTCTTGGTGTCCCTCCCGAGCATCAGGATGAGGGAGCGGTCACACAGGTACAGTTCACACTTCGCTCCTTGTTTGTTTATTCCTGTAACTGAAATACCTGCGAGGGGCGAGGGAGGCAATTGAAAACTGCAGGCGCAAAGGACCGTGAACTCCAGCTGCCTCTCCAAATCCAAACATTTTTATCAGCCTGATAAAAATCAGACGTTTATCACCTCCCCTGCCACGAGGCTGACCCGTAGCAGCTTTTTTTCCAAGTCCTTCCAAAGAAAGCGCCATCAGCGGCGAAAACTACTCAGCATCCAGCTGGCAAGGGGAGGGGTCGGTCAACCACTTGATTTCCTTCCTGACCTTTCTGAAAGCATCTAATTCCCCGAAAAAATGTTGCAGACAATTTTCTTGGCTTCTCCAGTATACCACTATTTAAAATTATTTTTGTAAGTGCAAAATTTAGCGATTTTTTTTGTTGTTGCTCTTGCTGATGGTTTGTTTATTTTGCTGTTTGTTTGGGGATTTTTTCCTCCTGAAAACCATATAAATTCCCCTTGGTCAGCCCAGAGGAATAAATTTTTCAGTTGCAAGAAAATATCATTAACGCACTAATAAGAGTCTGGGCAGCTGCTGCCGGACTTTTGCAACCACCCTCCCGGGGTAGGGAGCATTTTGGAACAGCTTTAAACTGGATGAGAGTAGATTTAGATGGGATGTTAGGGAGAAATTCTCTTGTGTGGGTGTGATGAGGCCCTGGCACAGGCTGCCCAGAGAAGCTGTGGCTGCCCCTGGATCCCTGGAAATGTTCAAGGCCAGGTTGGACAGGGCTTGGAGCACCCTGGGATGGTGGAAGGTGTCCTTGCACATGGCAGGGGGTGGGATTGGATGATCTTGAAAAATCCCTTTAAACCCAAACCCTGCTGTGATTCTGAACTTTGTGCCCACATTCCAGGCTGGTAAACCAAGGCCACACTGCAAAGTGCTGCAGATGATGCTGCCCTGGCATGAATGGAGCACAGTGTGTGGCTGCATCTACACGGAGATGTACACACAGCTCCCAGCCACCCCCCTCCAAATTCTAACCATGAATGTGGGATTGCACGATCTTGAAAAACCCCTTTAAACCCAAACCCTGCTGTGATTCTGAACTTTGTGCCCACATTCCAGGCTGGTAAACCAAGGCCACACTGCAAAGTGCTGCAGATGATGCTGCCCTGGCATGAATGGAGCACAGTGTGTGGCTGCATCTACATGGAGATGTACACACAGCTCCCAGCCACCCCCCTCCAAATTCTAACCATGCAAAGAATTCCTGGATGTGTGACTCGGATCCCACCAGGCATCTTCCCCCCGAAAGGAGAGGATGCATGTTGCACTGAATGTAGGCAAGAACGTGACTGGTCCTTCCCTTCCAAGTTTCCTTTAGAGGGAATCAAATAAATAAATAAATAATAAAAAAAATACATTCAAAGAGGAGGGTGAATCACGGCTTAGTCAGAGTTGGTGCTGGCATTTTGATGCTGGGGGGTGATGTCAGGAAAGGCTGGCTGGTGACCAGTAGGTTCTTCCAAAGGGGATGGAGAATGAAGTCTGGAGCTGTTATTTTGGGATGCATCCAGAGCCTAATGCCGCTGTTCAGGATGGGTTGCTAGGTGAGTTAGATGTTGGAGCAGCAGTGGAGCAAAAGGGGGAATTGAAAGGTTTTGGTTTTGTGTTTCGGAGAAGTTTGAAGACTGTAAACCCCATAAGAGATGGGTATCCCATTCTCACAGAAATGGGGTTTTCCTCCTTCTCTCCCAGACTTTCCCTTTTTGTACTTCCCTCTCCCACCTCTCTGGACCTGCTGCATTCATCCCTTGGACACTCAAGGTCAATTTTTTCCCCATCTACCACTGCGACTTTCACATTTCAAACCCTGGCATTACATTTATACCCCTGTCCCTGCTCATTTATTAAATATCTGCCATTTATTAAATATCTTCTCATTTATTAAATATCTGACTGGGGTATGCATGGCAGGACCTCCAGCCTACACTGGCTGGTTGATTCCTCCCTCCACCCTCAGTCCCACAGTGAGGATCACTGCCTGTCCCATGTCACCCCGTGCCTGTGCTGGCTCCCAAGGAGCTGACACATCTTCCTGACAGCATTCAGGCTGCAGCAGTGACTTGATTTCCTGAAAAATCGCTGAGCTAAGCACCCCTTTGGGCTTCTTATCACAGCAGCTGTGAGCAGCATTTTGTTTACCAGTCCAGGTGCTATTTTTAGGAAGCTGGGATTTTGCACAGCACGGTTTGGGAGGGGGAAAAAAATAATCCTCTGAGTGCACCTAGTGCCATCCTGCTCCCTGCCCTCTCCCCGGGGTGCAAGTGCCTTAAAAATAGAAGTGCTTCTTCCAGCTGACCTCCCTCGGAGCAGCTGGGTGCTGGTGCCTTTGAAATCCAGGCCACTTATTTAGGAGTTGAAGCTTTCCGCTCCAGTTATTTAGGAGTTTCTAAGCCAAGAGTCACTAGGTGGATCTAATTTGAAGCGACTGTGATTTTAATTCAGGCAGGGTTTCGCTTTCGGACTCCTTTTCATGTCGTGGGGGTGGTGATTTGTGAGGTGGGAAAGAGCCACGGAGAGGGGAGAGAGCTGCTGGGGGAAGGGGGACGATGCCCGAATTCCTTGTCCTGTGAAATCATGTGAATTTTTGTCCTCCTTCTGACTCATGCTTCAGCTGGGAACCGACTTTCTGTTGCCCTACATGTGAAAAGGATTTGGGGATTTTGTGCAGAGTGGTCCAGGGAGGGCTGTTGTGCCTGACTCCCGTCCCATCCTTGCCAACTGGAGCACTCACAGCTCTCTCCCATCTTCCTTCCCACATCCCAAATCTCTGGTTCTTTTCCAGCTCCCTCATAGTAGCTTTTCTTAAATTTTTTTTTCTTTTTTTTTTCTTTTTGCCTGTGAATATTTTTTCCCTGTGTAGGAGAGGGAAAGATTGTGCACTTTTTACTTCATCTTGGCTCCATGTAAGGAATTAGCCAGAAATATCTTCCTTCTAAATGCGTTATAAAAATACAAGCCTTTGCTTCCAGAGAAGGAAAATGCCCTAAGAAAAAAAAAAGATTATTGAACATTTTAGGTATCCAAGATGCTCCTTATCAGGCTTTAAATTTTGAAGCGAATTTTGCTGTATCAAGCACCATCAAAGCAGATGCTCCCACCTCTACAGCTCTTCCCACCCGTGACACATTCCCACATTTCCCTGCTGTAGCAAATTCCCAGAATCATTCCAAAGAAACCCCTCCATGCGAGGTGGGATCATCCCCATCAGCGCTGGGGGACAAGGGGGTTTGAGCACCTGCGTGTTTGGGATTTGGGCACGTCAGAGGAATTTCCAGGGTGGTCCCAACCCCTCCGTGCTGCAAGCAGAAGCTGTGTGGGGGCGTCAGCATTGCTGGGGTGCATTTTGCAGCCTAATTTAGAGTGGAAACATAACTTGCAGGAACCTGGCGAGTGGATTAAGATGTTTAATAAACTAATAAAAGAATGCAAATAAAATAATTATGATGACGATGATTATATGATGATGATGATTATATTTATTGTATACGAACGTGACAATTAAGAACAATTAAATTATCAGTAAAATGAAAAAATAATTTAAAAAAATGAAAAAATAATTAAAAATTACAATAATTTAATGAAAACATTAAATGATAAATAACTAAATGAGATTATTAAATTGAAATAATAATAATTTTTAAAAATATTGATTAAAAATCAGCATTATGCGCCCGTCTGAGCATCCCCAGCGCCGCGGCCGCCCCCGGTGCGCTGCCGGCGGAGGGACGCGGGGAGGCCCCGGCCCCGCCCGGGCGCGGAGCGGGGTGTACTTAGGGTTCATTTCTCTCTTTTTCCCCCCTTTTTATTTTATTTTAAAAATTTGTTTTAATTTTGTCTCTAGTTAATTTTTTAAAAATTTCATTTTTTATTTTGTTCAACTTTATTCCCAATTTTTTTTTTAGTTGATTTCCTTCGCCCCCTTCTTATTTTCGCCTCTATTACCTATTTTTTCTTAATTATTTTTAATATTAATATTAATATTTTCTTAATTATTTTTAAATTTTTTCTCTTTACATCTTTTACTCCTTTTTTATTTTTAAAGCATTTTTTTTAAAAAGTCATTTATTGTCGAGTTTTCATTGTCTTTTTTTTTTAAATTAATTCAATTTCCATCATTTTGCATCATTTTACATCATTTTACATCATTTTACACCATTTTCCCTCGCTGATTGAAAAGACGCGAGGAATGGAATATTTATTTATTTATCCACACATATTTCAGTCCGGGGGGTCCCCTGCTCGCCCCAAATTCCCGCTGTGGGGGCGGGGTCGGTGTCGCCTTCCCCCCGCGGAACAAAGCGCGTCCTTTGTCCGCGCTGCAGCGCGGGGCGCGGCCGGCAGGCGGCAGCAGCGGCCGCGCCGCCATCCCCGCCTTCATCATCATCATCTTCCTCCTCCTTCCCATCCTCCTCCTCCTCCTCCGGAGCCCCGTTCCGCCCCGCCCCGGGGGCGGTCCCGGCCTGTGCGGATAGAAATAGGCGGCCCGGCGGCTGCCGGCACATCGTGAGCGGAGCCGGCCGGAGCAGCAGCCCTGCTCCTTCCCCGGCTGCCTCGCGTGGAGATTCTCCTGCCTTTCTTCTCTTGTTATTATATATTTTTTTTTTCAATTTTAAAAGAAAGATAGTTTTTAAATTTTTTCTTTTTTTTTTTTACTATCTGGGTTTGTTTTTTTTCTCACCCCAGATATTTTTTTTCCAGTGGGGCTCGCCCTCGCTCCCTCTCAGCGCGCAGCGGCTGCGCTGGGGCCATTCCTGCCCGGCTTTGTGCCCTGCAGACCCGGCCCTCCTCTTCCTCCTCCCCCTCCTGCCGTAAAACCTTCACGAGCAATTTTAAAACAAAGATAGTTTTTAAATTTTTTCTATTTTTTTTTTACTATCTGGGTTTTGTTTTTTTTCACCCCAGATATTTTTTTTTTCCAGTGGGGCTCGCCCTCGCTCCCTCTCAGCGCGCAGCGGCTGCGCTGGGGCCATTCCTGCCCGGCTTTGTGCCTTGCAGACCCGGCCCTCCTCTTCCTCCTCCCCCTCCTGCCGTAAAACCTTCACGAGGCTCGCAGCAGCATCCGAAAGCGCCGCAGCCGCTCGCCCGAACCACCGACTGCAACAAAACCCTTTTTATTTTATTCTTTTATCATACATTTCCCCCACCTCCTTCCCCCTCCCCTTTTTTTATTTCTCCTCCTCCCTCCCTCAAACGCATCAAGGTGGACGCGGAGCGCAAAAAGACCTTTGTTTTAAAAATGCCCATGGAGCTGACGCAAAGCCGCATCCAGAAGATTTGGCTTCCCAATGACAACCGCCCGGCGCTGCCTCGCCGCTGTGAGTACGGGCACGGCAGCATCCCGGAGGGATGGGGATCGGCGTGGAGGGATGGGATGGGGAGCTGTCCTCTTTCTCTGTGCACCGCGGCGGGGCTCTTTGCAGCATCCCCTTTGCAGCATCCCTGCATCCCCCCCGCATCCCGGCGGTGCCCCCGCATCCCGGCGCTGCCCGCATCCCGTGACTCAGTCCCGGCAGGGCCGGGAGGTGCAGCCGGCTGTCACATGGCCCCGCAGGATGCGGGGAGGTGCCGGCACACGCGTGGCCCCGTTTCCACTCCAGCCCCGGGATTAAAAGGGAAGGGAGCGGGTTGTTCGCCTCGCAGCCCGGGGTGCCAGCTCAGCTGGGATTTTCACGGGATTTATCAATGGCAGGAGCATGAATGGTTCGGGTTGGAAGGGACCGTAAAGATAATCTCGTTCCACAACCCTCCTGCCATGTGACAGGATATCTTCCACTGGACCAGGTTACTCCAAATCCTGTCCAAATCTTTTTTTTTTGGGACGGAGGAGGGAGGATTAGGGCGATGTATTTAGGGAAAAAAAAAAAAATCCCAACCAGACACCAGCCGTTTGCAGTTTACTATTTAACCCTGAGGGGATGAGGAGGCAGGTGGAGGGGAAGGCAGAAATTAGTGCTGGAACTTCTGCAGTGCTTTCCCCTTGCCTCTGAAGCTCGGAATATAAAAATGCTTGGGTCGTCCCGGTGTTACTATAAACCAAATTTTGAATCTTGATCCAATCCGAAGGCTCAGGAAGGAGCACCTTTAAGTCACCCACCAGCTACACTGACAACCTGCCCGTTGTGCGACTCCCAGGAATGTGCGGAGCCGGGATGGAGGGGGTGGCACTCGCAGCCTGGCGAGGGATGGAAGTGGCTTGGCGTGGGTGAATCAGTCTTTCCGATGCTTGCCTTCATCAGGCGCTTAAAGTCGCTTCCGATGTTTATTTACCTTGGCTGGAAAGTTTCCCCTTGTAAATAATAATAATATTTTTTAAATATTAGATATTCTGTGATCTTGCCAGGTGCTGTTGCCCGTGGCTGTGGGTCAGGCAGCCTGGAGCAGATGTTGGGATGCGCAGCCTGCCGAGGAAATGGATTTCAGCAACAGGCTGCACATCTGGGTAGCCGAGGGGCTTTGCTTGCCCCTGGTGGTGTAAAACGTCTCCCGGCTTAATGCTTTGCACGTGTGTCTCTGTGGCTGGGTTTTCCTCAAGGGCTGGCACCTCTGAAAGAAATCCCTTGTGCATGCAGTGGTTTTTTGCCACTTCGTTCGGCTGGCTTCTCAGAGAGAGCTCCCTTTTGGGAAGCGGAAAAAACGAACATATTTGATATATTAAGGCACCGAGGGGCTTATTAATAACGTAACGTGGCTTGTAATTATATTTTCTTGGGGTGGGAGCAAGCCACGCTGTGCAATGCGAGCAGGGGGTTTTTAGGCTTTTTTTAGCTAGCTCTTTTTTAACTCGAGGTATTTTAAACGCGAGGCGCTATTAATTCCTCAGCAGCAACAAAAGGCGAGGGCTGCAAAGAAGGGAGGGAGGAATAACGGAGACCACTTCCAGCGCGATGCCTGGAGGGAGCGGGCGCATCCCTGCGAGCATCCTCTGCACGGGCGCTGCCCCGGGTGTGAAACAACCAGTCCGACTGTGTGCCCGCTGGTCCGGGGCAGGCTGCAGGCATCCCTTCAGCTGCCCTTTCCACGGCGATCCATTAAATTGCTGTCACGCCGCACGTCTCTCACGTAGGGGCTGGGAAAGCCGAGCCGTCGGAGGCGCTGGGCAGAGCCGGGCGAGGGGAGGGGGATGCTCCGGCCGGGAAGGGGCTGCGCTGCCCCTCTCCAGCCTGTCGCTGCTTTTTCCCGTCCCTCCGGCTCGGTGGGTGCGGGACACAGGCGGGGATGTGCGCGTTCCGGCAGCGGTCACAGCGCTGCGAGGGCAGGGTCGGTGGAGGTGTTGGGATTCCAGCGGGAAGGAGCTGGGAAAAGGGGAATAGGACTGACGGAATGTGCTGTCTGGGCTCGTGGGAGGTTTTTGGGGAATACTTAGGAGGAGACGGTGAAAATGCCTGAAGTGGGGAGGTGGCTGTTTTATCCGACTTTTTATAGAAGCAAATTTCCTTCCCTTTTGGGCTGGGTGTTTTTTTGGTCGTTCTTTCTTTTTTCTTCTCTTTCTTTTACCCACTGGTGAAACTGACTTTCTGGCAAATAGCAAAAGTGATAAGCTCCTTTTAAATACCCTCTAACTGAGCCTGAAAGTCATCCCTGCCCTTGACTTACCTGGCTAGATGTCGATAAGGAGTAATGAATATGTATTGAAATCCCTGATAGCTTCCCAGCAGCGGTGAAAAGAAATGATGAATGAGGGCTTTGTGAAAGACTGGGAGCAAAACACTGGGTTCTGTTTCATCCCTGATGCAAAGTTTCCCGGAGACTTTTGGTCTGGGCTCAGATTCCCGATGGAAAGTTGCTCACTGATGCCATGAGTGTTTTGGGAGGCGCTTCCCAGGTGCTGTTCCATTGTGCAAGGGCAGCAAAAATCCTGAATTAGGGGTGTTTTAACTCTTGCAGCAGCCTTTGGAAGTGACACGTGCACGCCCACACAGTGCCAGCCCCGGGGCTGCCACAGCTGTCTGGAGCCACAGGGACATGAACAGTACCCAGCATTGTCCCTTTGCTCTTGGAGTGCTTTTTAATGGCCCCAAATCCTCTTGGCTCTGCTCTTTGAGATCCTTTGTCCACTGGCAGGTAGGGAAAGGAAGTTTCCTTATTCAGGTATTATTCCTTCCTCCTCCCTTTATCTGATAAGTGCGTGGGTTTTGTGTAAAACAGACTTGCACCCGTAGCTTGGCTAAGGATGCGAGATTGTTGGGCAGGGGGAAGTATTTTTCTGGGTATGTTGCACAGCTCCCTTGTGCCCCAGCACAGAAAATTGTCACTTGCTGCCAAAATCTTTGGGAGCTGCCCTGGGGTTTTGAAATGCAGCACTGGGCAGGGGGCAGGTTGCACAAAGGGAGTGAGTGAGGGCAGCGGGCAGCTCCAGCCTGGGGAAGGAAACAAAAAAAAAAAAGAAACTTCATTTTAGGTAGTTTTTAATCTCTTGCCTGCTGAGTTTGCTTTGCTGAGAAACTTAGGAAGATGATGGGTGGCTCATCTCTGCCATCTGGGTACCAGTGCCATAAATCTTCCTTGTGGCCTTAATTTGGTTCCTCCAGCTGCTGGATTTATTTTCTCAGATGGGGAAGGTGCTTTGCATGTTCTTTGGGTACCTCTCAGTTTGTCCTTTCCAGATCCAGGCTGAGAAAAACCTACCCCAGCCCTGTGTCCATCCCAGGGAGCCCCTGGCATCCCCTGGTCCCACCTCCAGGCAGCTGTGACAGGCAGGCAGAGCTCTCCACCCAGGCCATAATTAAGCTGGGTTTTATGGCTCTGCCACCAGCCACTCACTCCCTGCATTCCTTTCCTATGAGGTCTCTGTGCTCACCGGGTGGATGGAAGAGTGGGTGAGAAATCCCCTGCAGGGTCCCATCTGTCCTGCAAATGCTGCCTCTGGGTTTTCTTTCCAGCTGTTTCACATGGACCCTCTTCACCGCAACAAACAAAACAAAAAAAAATATCCCAACAACCCAGCTTGGGTTTGTGAGGAAAAAAGGATAAATCACTTGGATACCTGCTTTTAAATGCTGCTGGTTCTGTGGTTCTCTTGCCTTGTTTGTCTTCAGAAAATCCAGTTAGCTGGTTGTGTGGCAGCTAGAAATTTAGTCAGAGATTTTGGGAGATGCTTTCTGTGAGTGAAAATCTGGACCAGACCTGGTATTTCAGCACAGGCACTGCTGCAGAGAGGGGTCTGAAGTCCTTGGCTATCCTTGAGCTTTTCATGGAATTGCCAAGCCATTGGAATGTGAAGTTGTGCTTGCCTTGATGTTAATTTTTCTTTTTTAATTTTTTATTATTTTGGTTGCAAGTGAGGCAACTGAGGCACAGAGGCTCTCCAGAGAGCCTGGGCCAGCTGCTGGCTCCTTGCCTACTTTGACCCATCAGGATGTTCATGCTGTGGCTTTCATGTTTCCTCCAGCTGCTGAAGGACTTGGCAGGAGTCCAGATAAAAACAAGTGCCTTGTTGGGTCAGTGCAGGACGAGCTGGAGAATTAACAGCTCCTGTTCTTTTTCCTTGCAGCCTGTGGGCCTCAGCTTGCCAATTCCCCCACTGTGATAGTCATGGTTGGCCTCCCAGCCCGTGGCAAGACCTACATCTCCAAGAAGCTGACTCGCTACCTCAACTGGATCGGGGTCCCCACAAAAGGTAAGGCTTGCACTTTCTGCCGGGGGAAGGCAGGAGGTCTGATCCTCAGGAATTCCTCTAGATCGGTGCTTTGGGAGATGGGGAGGTAGTGGGGGACATTTCCAAGATCCCACAGGTCAAATATAAATATCTGTGTTTTCATATTCTGCTGCACCCCAGCTTCTCCTTCACTTTGAAGACCAAGGGATGCCCTGAGGATGTAACTGTGTGGCCCCAGCTTGCTTTAACTGCAGAAGGTACATAATTGAGTCATGCCTCTCATTTTGATGGTTTGTTTTTTCCCTTTTCCCCCCTAGTTTTCAACGTTGGGGAGTATCGCCGCGAGGCCGTGAAGCATTACAGCTCCTATGACTTCTTCCGTCCTGACAACGAGGAAGCCATGAAAGTCAGGAGGTGAGTGTGGGCACCCTGACCCCACGTGGTGGTGAAGCCTTTGGCTGGGAGCAGAGTTACCCAGTTTGGGGGTGATGAACAGAGAAGTCGGGCTCT